AAGACAAACTACTTTGAATTCATTATGTAAGAATCAATATTAGATGTTTTTTTATCTGCGGTGTTAGTGTGCAGGTTGGATTATGTCAATAAAATGTAACTTTTTTTTTCTCAGATATTAATACTTATAAACTATTGAAAAAATGATCGTGTTTACTACAGAAATTCCAATGAATCAAGATATTGTTAATATTAATGTCCAATTGAATTTGATTTAAATATAATCTGTCCTTTTCACATAAGCTCACACTCGTTACACTTCCATATTTCCATAAGTCAGTTGATCAGTATGAGCTCTGTTCTATCTATTCCTGTTCCTTCATTTTAAAACTTATATCTTTGACGACATCAATCGGAGATCCAGGTTGCTCAAGGGCTACTACTTATCAGCTAGGTAGTCCACAAAACTCTACACTAATCTGTCCAGTCAACAACTCTTTTTGGTGGTTTTCTTCTTTGAGAGTTATGGAATACAGATGTGATAGTCTTTTTGTCCTTTATTATAACTTACTGTCTCGTTACTAGGGAAGTTCTCACTGAGCAGTTGGTCGAGCAAATCTACTGGTGGCTCTATCTTTGGTGATTCTCTTGAAGCGGTCTCGACAGGAGCTCTGAATTCTTCCACAATTTGACTTTCCACTGGCAAATTCTTCTCTGAAGCTAGCCAGCTTGCCATCTTATCACCGACATATTTCCGAAGATGATCACATGGATTGCCTTTATCTTGGATTGCTTTATTGCTCTGGATTCTGTAAACCACATCATTGATCCTTTTCAGTACAACATATGACTTTTCCCAACACCTGCTTAACTTTGGAGTTCGTCTTTTCTTGCAGCACGGATTGTACAGCCATATCATGTCACCTAAATGAAATCCAGTCTTACCAACACTAATAATATCATAACAACTTTTCATTTGATCACAAGTTGATTTAAGTCTTTCCTGGGTAAACTCATGTACGACATGTTTATTCTTCAAATATTCGAGAGATCTTCCAACCACCAATCCTTCGGGACACCCAGGGTGTTTGGTTCCACTACAATCTAGTCACTAGATGTATATTTATTCATAAAACTACTGGTATGAGTTTTTCTTGGTACTATATTGACAGGGACGAAACTTTCGTATTAAAAGAGGGAGAGCATTCCGTGAAATTGGGGTATAAACGAAGGTATCCTCTAAAAAAAGAAATAAGAGGGTTATTTTCTGTGTTATTTCCCCCTTTTATCTTATATTAATGCAAAACATTCACTGAGTAGCAGTAATATCAACATTAACAACCTTTCAAAACGTTAAAAGATCTAGTTGCATACTCTAAACAGAACTAGTTTGTCATATTACATTTCACTCATTATTTAGGTATCAATACAACTTGTGAAACAGTAATAACACTTACATCAGCAATACTTAGGGTAAATCAAATTAAAAAACTCATACTGCTGATATAATGATTGATACAGTATAAACTTTAATTGAAAATGTTATCCATTTAAAATGCCTTTGGAAAAAAGCAGGAACGAAACTGTGTTACTGTTAGTCTTGGAATAAAAATATGCATTGTGTAATATAAGTTTAATATATTTTCTGTACCTCTCTGTTAAGGTATGTATCTTGAATGTTGCAGCAGATGAAATTTCTGTGTATTAATTCCCCATTTCCTACAACTTATACAAGTATTAATTTTGTGATCTGGATTTGCACAGTATGGCAACATCAATAATGGTTCCTTATGAAAATTCCGGTTTCTATATACAAATAAAATAACCATAACCATCACAATAAAAACACATTTAGAAGCATAACAGAACTTGTCTTTAGAGGAAAACACATTATATTATAATTCTGGCAAGTCCTCTATAACCAGAACTCCCTTGTTTTTCTAAAGAAAAGATCCGAAAATATCCCTGTGCTGAAGCTCCTCTCAGCTTCAGCAGGGGAGGCAGGGACAGCTAACATTAACCTCACAAGGGCTTCAACCTGACCAAAAAGGCTATGAACTGCAGGCAACATGTCCCTCAAGATTTCAGTAGCTTCAGTGCTGATATTGTAGGTGTATTTTGAGATTAACATGGCTAACTGCACATGTAACGACTTTCTGGGTAACTTTGGGTATTGGTCCACAACATTGTCAGTCTCTCCAGTGAGGAGTACTATCTCCAATGTTTCAAGACTCTGTAGGTCTCTCTGGTCGAAAAACTCTCTGAACTGCACATCT